CCCCCCCCCCCCCCTTTAAAGGCTCATAACTTAAAACCGATAAGAGCTAGCTGAAAGTTGTCAATTGTAAAAATGTGTAAAATTTAATTCTAAATAGTTATAAGCTTTCCAAAAAACATTTCAGGAGACGAAAACGACAAAAATGACAAAAGTAGTAGGTTGTGAGATCTCGTACTCCGATCGAGAGTGCGTCTCCACAACTCCAGATGGTCTTTTTCCGACATAATCAAATTTCAAATTCTGTCCGCTCCAGACTTTCTTTTTGTAGATCAAAAATTAATTTGCAGTTCGGAAATGTTCAGTGGGAGAGCGTGCACCAGAGTAAATAAAAAAGAAAAACCAAAACGTTTCGTGTTATCTCTGAGGAAACAACAAACGAGATTGCAGCCTAAAACTCACGGAACGATGTTAAAAGTGAAAAAATTAAACACTCGAAAAGGTTGTAAAAGGAAATTAAGACCGGGTGCCGGACGGTTGGTGGTCGATACAGCCCAATCGTTCAGAATGGCAGTGAGAGAAGCTAGAAAATAACAACAAAATGTGTTGGGAGAGCGTGGGAGAAGAGGAGCGTGCCAGGCAGAAGGGCATGGGCGAGGCGACCAGACGAGTAAACATGCTGTTGCGGATCGGTTTTGAGAGAGGGGCTGTAAGGGATTTACTGCTCAGAGAGCATCGAATTCGAAATAAAAGGTCACAAGAGAGTTCATGAAGACGTTCTAAAACAATAAAGGTTTTCATAGCAGCTAATATTTTCCCGCTTATTTTAGCTGAAGAAAACGACCGGTGCGACAAAGCGCATGTCTGAGAGAGCGGCTGACGGTCAGGCGGGCGGTCACAACAAAAATGAGAAAGTATCAAGGGTAAATAGGTTAAAGAGCGCTGAAGTTTTTAGAACATCAAATCGCATCGATTGTGATCATTAACCAACATCCAAGTTGCTGTCTATTCCTACTGGCAACACTATGACCTGACCCACACTTGCCCCGCCAAAATGTCAAAGTCTTGAGTTTTAGAAATCCAATGCCGTAGGAAAAGACTTAAAACGGTAGAAAACAATGCAATCAAACTTTCAAATAACCTCTGAATGCTTCGCGAGCATCTGTATGTGGAAGTTGAACATGCCTCCAACTTTCTTCGAACTCACGACGATGCCCTTGATTGGCCATTTTTAGTTGGTCAGGAATATCAGAAAGTGTTCAAAAGCGAATTCTCGCGAAGTCACACAAAATGATAAGAATTTGAGACGTCAGATAAGAAGCTCGTAAACAAGATTACCCTCAAGGCAGCACAACAGAGGCTGTTGTTTTTCTATAAAATATATCGTTGTAAGGAAAAATAACATTTGAGACACGAACTGAAAGGTGACATTAGTTAAGTAAAACTACTGTTTTTATTAATAACACAAAAAACAAATACGGCCAACATTGTACATACAAAAAGAGGGCGTTCAGAAGAAAGAAAAGAAAAAACTATCACAGGATTAATCATTCGAAAAACAAAGTACATGGGGAGATAGGAACACGATCGGAATGAAACAGATTGTGGAAACATTAACATGAATATTCGGAAAAGAAAAAAATTTAAAGAAAATAGATACTGAGACCCCGCAAATTCCGGGGAAAGAAAAAATCGGGGAAAAAACCGGGGAAAGTGGGCGGAGTCGGGGGCGGAGCCTAAAATGCAACCCTGGCACGGTTTTGCCGCACGGTATTTCTGCACATTTGGACATGGTCATGAGGGGGCGGAGCCTAAATTGCAACCCTGGCACGGTTTTTCTCGTCTCCGCCCACTTTCCCCGATTTTTTTCCCCCGAATTTGCGGGGTCTCTAGATACTGATTGGATGCAAGATATATAGCTCTATTGATAAATGAAAAAAATCATTCATTGGAGGGGGATACTTTCCGAGGAGTCAATGCGAGCATCACTTTTGGCTGATCGCGAAAGCTGCTTCTGTGAAATGTTCTTTGTCCCCCGCTTCGTTTCTCGGGAGTCGCCGATGGACTTTCAATTGTCATTGGAGACGATGGGCTGTTGATTCCAGAATCAGTGGGAGTAGCGGCTGGCGTAGGTTTATCCTGGTATGCTTGAATCAGAGAAAGAACGGCGTTGCGAGCTCCGTGGCATTGTTCTTTGTTCTGCGCCATAATCTCCACGGATGTCATCCCAAAGTGGGAATAAACTTCAGTGTGAACAGTAATAACACAATTGAACTGTCCTTCGATTTGCTTCTTCATCGCGGCACGATTCCCAAGAATTTTACCGACTTCGGTAGTTGGAATCTGAAAAAAAAAACATATGTACCTTGAAAAGAGACTGGGATTCAATACCCATTGTTTAACTTTCTCAACGTTATTAGTCGTTTGTACCGGAGGAAGTATCACTGGTGGTTCAAGCATTGATGGCAATTGGGGTGGAGGGACAGAAAAGTCTGAGGGGAATAGTTGCAGCTGTCTATCGAAATTGGAGGACATGCGACCTTCATCGAAGATTTGAGACACGGAGAGAGGTGGTGTCGATGTCAAAATCGCGTTTGGTTCACCAATCTTAAAATAACATATAACTTATAGAAGAATCGCGTTTCAAACCGAGAAAACGTTATTGAGGACTGGAGGTGGGGCTTCAGGATTAAACGGACTAGGCGTCAGATCTGTAAGAGATGAATAGAATACAGAACAATTACTTTACTAACTGTATCCCATCCTAGTAGTCCGGCGCGCGATTGGTATCTCGATTTCTAGCAGGCCGAAATGATCCGTCAGGCACTCTATCATCACCTCTCGGGCTTTGTTCACAGCTAATTCAGCTCCGAACATCGTGACTTTCCCGTTGAAGTGATCAATCTGAAAGGTAATTGTTCTTATCAAATCGACTATTCGATGCATACGATGATGTCGTTACATCTTGATCTTCTCGTTATATCAGAGGAGAAGAAGAACACGACGGCACAGTAAGCGCGTGGAAGAATCATTTGACAGATGTGGGTGCAGGAGACGTTCAGCGCTGCTTCTCGGATCATGCTGTAAGACTATATGCGGTCATGACTCTCGTACCAACTCCTACATTTGAACGTCTCGTTTTTGCCACATGTCTCGCAGAATGTTCTCGATGCGAACGGCGTCCGCTTGCATTCCAGTGGTCGAGCACTTCACAATGAGCAAATCGTTCACGACAGAGATGATACAATGAAAATGTGTCTCGAGAGCAGCCACCACAGCGCTACCTTGTGGTTCTGAATCCGGTGTACATTGAGTCATCTTCAAAGAAATTCGTTAATTACCTGACATGAAAGCTTTCAGCTTTTGTGAGATGTACACTTCTTGTGGGGGAGAAGAGATTGGTGAAGAATCTTCCATTTCCTGCAAAATTCTAAGCGCTTTCGATGTAAGAAACATTCAAAGCACTTTCAAATAACAACGCATCTCATGAGACATGAGGTCGAACTTATTCAAAAAAGTGAAAACAGATTGAAAAGTAAAAAGAAATTTCTAGGTGAGGACCGAAATTAAAAAAATCTTCTGTTTTTCTAAGCCAGCGGCTGAAATTTGCGGAGTGTTGTTGTAAAAAAAAGCCGGGAACTCGAGTTTTTAAAAGTCTTCGATATATTTCCGCATTATCAGGGATTTTCAGAACGGAAATGACGATCATTTGTCATTTGCGGAATTAAATTCCGACCGGAAGCTTCCGCGCGAAGCTTTTTGGAGAGATTTTAGTTGGGCATAATTTTTACAAGTGAAAACAGCGAGAAGATCTTTGAAAACAGGAAACATGGTCGATATGATCGAAAAATATAGCGCGCACGCGCTACCCACGGAATTATTATGGGCACACATAGCATCCTACATGCGCGCCTAGGCATATGCCGTTACCCTGTGTCTGAGATTCTACTAATGATCACGAAGAGAATTTCCTTTAAAAAAACTGAACACCTCAATTATTTTTCCATTCCAAATTTT